AAATTTAACGCTATACTTGTTGTTTGCAGCCCCGGGGCGCCGCACGCCCCTCCGTCCGGACTGCAGCAAGTGGCCAGGATGATGGACTCGCTGCTCATGGACACGTTCTCGCCGTTCACGTTCACCAAGATCACGACGCACCGGCGGGAGCGGCAGGCGAGCCGCCGCCACCACCACGCGGCCCGGCGTGAGGCCGGTGCCCAGGGCGCAGGGGTGGTTGGGGCCGCCAGCTCCGCGCCCATGCGCGCGCACCCGCCACCGCCGCCGGCCCACCCAGGTAACGTGCTGTCTCCCTGCTCTCGTGCATTAGTGCATTCTTACATTAGCGTCTAGCGCATCAAGCCTGGTCTGGTGCCCCGCCTGGGCGGTGGGCGGCCTTCGGAGCGCTAGGCTGGGGCGGGCCACCGGCGGCCCACAGCTGCTTTGTGGGTTTGCCTACCCAGCGCGTTGCAGGCGCGAAACCGTTACATAGTTGTTTAGAAAACTATTCCTCGTAGGGGCAATAGCCCAAAGACGCCCAACGGTTCCTCGTGGCCGCCTGCTTCGCGTGGGCCGGGGGGGGGGGGTACATGCCTATAACACATTCCTTGCGGCTGTGCATCTTGGGCGTGAGGGTCGAAAAAAACAACAAAAAAACCCTGCAAACCTTGAAGGTGCCATGGGCCCCCTGTATTGAGCTCTAAAATGAAACCGGAACCGAAAGGAAGAAGAACCTTGTGCTTGTTATATCTGGTATATCCCCCAACGCCGACTAATCAATGGAATCAAAGGGGACGTCAGTGACGTGGTCAGCCAATCAACCTGCGAGGCAGTTTTTATGTTTCTTTTACGTGTTTCGATTCCGTTTCAGCAATGGAAATGAAGGCTTGGCATGAAAAGAGGCCCACGTATACAAGCCACTAAAACCCGTGTTGGCACAGGTGCGGAGTTCATGGTGCGACCCCCCGACTCGGCGGCGGCCGGTGTGCGCGGCGGCGGCGGCGGCGGAGGCGGCGGCGGTCACCCTCCTCCGGCCGCCAGCGACAAGTGGGTGGCCTCCTTGCGGCGCCGGGACCCCGAGATCCAGCCGGCGCTGCCGGCCATCGGCCTGCGCGGCCGCTCCAGCTCGCACCCCTCCGTGGCGCGCAAGTCCCGCTCCGTGGAGCGGCTGCCCCGCACCGTGCGCGCCCGCCCGCCCGTCGGCCCCGCCGGCCCCGTCAGCTCCGCGGCCCTGCACCACCGCCACCACCGCGTCGCCAAGAAGACGTCCTCGACGGGCTCCTCGGAGAAAGAGGATCAAGATGGCACCGGCGACGACGAGAAGGACGAGCAGCAGCGCACCTTCAACCCCACCGGCTACGAGGGGCACCTCGTCGACACCTTGGAGAAGGACATCCTGCAGCGGAACCCGGATGTGACTTGGGCGCGCATTGCGGGCTTGGAGGACGCCAAGGGGGTGCTTCAAGAGGCCGTCGTCTTGCCCATCCTTATGCCTGACTTTTTCAAGGTAAGCTCTAACTAACACCACTATAAAGAGGACTGTGCACTTGACAAATTAAGATTTTAAAAAATAACTTGGCAAATGTCCGCAACTTCACAGGGTATCCGGCGGCCGTGGAAGGGCGTGCTGATGGTGGGTCCACCAGGCACAGGCAAGACGATGCTGGCGAAGGCTGTGGCCACCGAGTGCGGCACCACTTTCTTCAACGTATCGTCGGCCACGCTCACCTCCAAGTACCGCGGCGACTCGGAGAAGTTGGTGCGCCTGCTGTTCGAAATGGCGCGCTTCTTCGCGCCCAGCACCATCTTCATCGACGAGATGGACTCGCTCTGCTCGCAGCGCGGCACCGACTCGGAGCACGAGGCTTCGCGCCGCTTCAAGGCCGAGCTGCTCATCCAGATGGACGGGCTCAACTGCACCAGGTGTGTGCCGCGTGTTGCCTGCGCTGCGGTGCGCAGCAGCAGAGGAGACGGGGGTTGCACGCTACGATGCTCACTTGCTTCTTTATTCGGCAGCGGTGACGACAAGGTCATCATGGTCCTGGGCGCGACCAACCACCCTTGGGATATCGACGAGGCTTTCCGCAGGCGCTTCGAGAAACGGGTCTACATACCCCTGCCGAACGGTAAGCAGCGAACCCACCCATTGCAACGACGGGAAAATATGTTAGCAAAGAGTACCTAACAGGTTGCCTACCGTTGCTCGCCGCGTCTTCGAGCCAGTAGACAACCCTGCAACATACAGCAATTTAACTTTAAATATAATTCCAGACGAAACACGCACGGCACTGCTCAAACTCTGCCTCGAAGGGGTGACCGTCGAGGAGAACTTCGACCATCAGACTGTCGCGGACCAGCTCGAGGGTTACACGGGATCGGACATCAGCAACGTTTGCAGGTAAGGAAACTAGCGGCCAGCAGGCAAATACAAATTATGTTGCATTCCCCGGGAATAGAGATCGGTTACGAAACGTTATTTAGACGTTTCGTTTCGTGATCGAGTTCGCCACGCAATGCATCGTCTTAGCAATGAGACATCGACACCTGATGGCTATGGGATGATCATCCAGAAAGTACGTTCGTCACTCGCTGAGTCACAAACCTGCCAAGCGCAGCCTCTTCAAGCTCTCATAACGCCTGGTAGGTAGGCAAAATCTTGACTGCAGGACATGCATGTACTGCGGAGTGGCCTACCCCGAATCTCGCAGGCGCCTGGCTCCCGTAACTTGACAAATAAATAATTTAAAAAAAGACAGACGTACTTTCTGGACGATCCCTACGCGCCCATGTGATGACCAACATTTCCCCAGGGACGCCGCCATGATGGCCATGCGGCGGAAGATCTGCGGCCGCAGCCCGGACGAGATCAAGAAGATCAAGAAGGAGGAGGTGGACCTTCCCGTCACGGTGCAGGACTTCGGGGAGGCGGTAGCCAAGTGCAAGAAGAGCGTCACCCAGGAAGACGTGACCAAATACGAGGAGTGGATAGCGGAGTTCGGGTCGTCCTGAAGGACTCGCAACGCGAACGGAGGATAACCGCAGTGCCCAGAGTGTTTCGACAACGCTGTTTAGAGTCCGTGTATGCTGTAAGCTGTAGGGCATCTGGCCCAAAGTGCATTGTACAAAGAATAGTTTCTTTTGTAGATATATGTTCTTTTTCAATTAAAGTTTAACTCATCTTTTT